TAACATTAATAAGGGAATTACATTTAAATGAAAGAATTGAAGGTTCAAAGTTCTTGAAAACACACCAATGAAACTACCTGCACAACACGCCATTGAGAAACTGAAGATCAAATTGCAATCAAAGCCTGGCCTTGGTGGGACACGGCGTGACACCAAATAGAATGAACTTGAAATACAAGAATAGCAGAGGAGCACCGGATCTATAAATCACATTGGAGGAAAGGCTACTGTTAAAGAGAAGGTCCGGGGTCTGGTAACGACGTAATAAATCATTTCTGAGCTTTCTTATAGTTTTTACGTTACTTAGGAATATCATTATCCCCTGAAAAAAATGTGTTTCACATGAGCCCATATGACTGGAAAAAGCTGGAAAGTTTGGACCAACCTTTCCAGCCACACATGTGTGTAGTCCCATATACACATTTCTGTGTGCAGTGCATGCAACTTTCGGCAAGAATGAGTCAATTTCTGATAATTCTAATATTTCCAAAACAATTTTTAATGAATTACCTTTCCCTATTGCTTCCAGACAGTTTCTTTCACATCATAATCTTATAACCAGAACTCAATTGTATCTTTAAAACCCAAGCTACAAGCAACTCACCAGGAACAGCCCCACAAATCCGTTTGGCCATCTGGGGTACGATCGGCACTTTGAAAGGACATGCAAACCGCTTAGTACTGAACTTGAGGTGAGCCGGGGTCTAAATGGTGGCCTGGAAATGCCGGCCTGAAAAGGAAATACCCTCGACCTTCAACCCTGGCTGTAATCTCGAGACGACGAACATGGGTGCCAAAATTGAATTCTTCCTCGCGCCTTTTTGATCACTTCCTGTCCCAGTTTAAGCGTCAATGCATTCTGCAGATATCAGTCGTTTGTCTCAATCTCGTTAGGATTCTATTTGGAGGCTTTATAAATGCAAGAACATGAGAGTCACGTGCATGATCGAGGCAGAGAGAGACAAAAATACACACCAGAGCAGAGCAGAGCGAGGAGAGCCATTTAGTAATGGAAAGCTATTAAAAAAACAATCGAGGATTTTTGTTTTCCTTAAAAATATTAAGATTCCTTCTAAAAGTCTCGCCTTTTCTGGGTGAAATATACAAATAAAAAATGTTGATATTAACTTTGAAGACATCAGATGAGTAACGTAGGACATAGGCCAGTCCTTCGGATAGGATGTTAAGTCTCATGCATGTAGATTGTATGCTATCACAGTTGGTAAGGAAGCCAGTATGGATTTATTGGAGGAAATTGCTTGTAATTTCAGCCAACCACATACTTTTTTTACTTCAAATTTGGCTAGCCTGAGGTACAAAGGGAAAGTGATGATATCAACTGCTAATTAAAAAAAGGGTTGCTGGCAGTCAGCCACAAACTTAAAGATATGATCATTTGGTCAGTAACTACAGTAATAGTCAAGATTTATATTTCTAACAAATCCTTTGATGATACAATGGGTAAATTTATATGAAAATATTGAACCTATTTTGTTCTTTATAAAAGGTGACTTTTGTGAGAAGGGGTGGGGTTAAATTTTACTGTAAATTTCCAATATCTATAACTACAGCAAATGTGTAGCAACAAATATCAGCAACATATGGTATGTGGGTAAACCTCAAGGCCAACAGATAGATAAAACCTTCAAAATGTCATCACAATTACACTGTCTATGTGTTTGTTTGTCTGTCTTTTGATTACTGTCTACTATATTAAACATTCAGACATACAGAGCATGAAAATACTAGGCTGATATATGCACAAAATGTTTACAGGGGAGATTATTATACCCCTATTTTAATTTCATGCAAATTTGCTTTCTAATCGAATTAAGTATACACTCAGCAAAAAAAGAAAGTGGACACTCTTTAATGCTCAAAAATTTCTTATAACCTGTCGATAAAAGATAAAGAAATACATGTCAAATTCAACATCAATTAAGATTAAGTTTTAAACTTTCACACTTGGATGGGCACATTTATTTAACTGTTAGGTCTGATAAAGAAAATTGCAAAAATAGAGCAAGTAGCAATTCAAATGTTAATGAAAAAGTGCATCTGCAAGACATTAATGTTCAACAATGAAAACAAAAAATGAGAATCAATGAGGACGGAACTCTGGATGTCAACTGTAGTCTCATGACTGCATTGTTTAGACAAGAAAGGTCACGATACCTCTCCTTTCCACTCAAGATCGTGGACGAGCCAAAGGCTGTTAATGGCCAGATGCCCCATTTTTAGATTTCTTTCAGAAACTCATTTATTATTAAATGGCTATGCTTACTCATGCATGAATGTTATCATCTTAAAAAGGATAACTGTATGTCTATTTTGATATATGAAAGAAACGTTATATTACATATTCATTTGAAAATCTTAACAATAAATAGTGTCCACTTTCTTTTTTTGCAGATTGTATTTTTTATGTTTTCATCTTGGAATACTCACCACCCAAAGGTTCAGCATTTATCCAAACCTGGCCTTGATGGCCCAAAATGATCTCAAACGAAGAACGAAGATTCCTCTAGAATCCTATCAAAGCTCAGAGCCAAAGCTTCCTTTCCTTCACTTCATCAATTATCACTTTATCAGGATGAAAAGAGTTTCATGAATTTCACAGGTTTCAGGTATCCAGAGATGAGTTTTGAGCAATGACAATGTAAGAATTCTCATCATACGCTTCCCTTCTCTGCTCGAACACAAATCCCTTTAAAAATCTTGAAACAGGAGCTCAGAACCTTTTTTCATGAACATACATGAGTTTTGGTTGTTATTCTGTTTCTCTTGTCTCCCTGTTACATGAGCGTTCACATTCCCCCAAGCCGAAAATAGAGGTCAAAGTTCGCAGCCTACTGACTCGACACACTTCAGCATTCATTAGGTCGCCTGAGAACGCTTCAAGCCAGTGTGGGAAACATGCTCCTCGATGCAAGCACATTCAGACTTCCATGGCGCGACGACGTGTAAGAGAGCAATATTCCTGATGAAAGATGTAAAATTAAGCTCATCCCACTTCTAGATACCAGAGATGAAAAGAAATCCTGAATTACTAATATTCCATTCAGACATGTAGTATGTACATGTAAATGTTCCTATCCGCATCCAGTTTATACACAAACTTTATAAAAACTTCATCCACAAATTTGTATTTTTTAAAAACTTTACTTCAAAAATTGCCCTTGACGACTAAAGACAAGCTCCGATCAATGAGTGTCTGGCTTTGAAAATAAACGGGATGAAAGCAATGTTGCTGCAGACAATACAGACTATAGTGAGAAAAGACGTCCTTAGATGTTAAGTCGATCAAGATAGTACAGTATCGTCTCACGCACATACAGTGAATGAATCTCACCTGTCCCATAGAGTTGTGTTAACTTGATCCAGACGGTTTTACTGCCTTGCATAATGTATGTATCCTAATGCTTCATAATTAGCCATACACTGAGCACAGGTAGAAGAGCGCTACTTGGGGGCGTTCTGATGAAGACAGGATGAACGAAATCGCGAGGGCGAGCCACGAAACGTAGACATAACAGGTAAAAGAGTGAATCGGCTGCGACTGTGGCATGTACATGTACGTCTCCAATTCAAGTTGAAATGGAAGCAGGAGTTGTACTACAATGTATTTCACTGTGTAAGCAGTTTGTGGAGATGCTCTGGTTATCCCGAGGAAGAAAACATGGTTTATGACTCCCGCTTTGGGAGTATAGCTAGCTGCAGATGTGACGGGGGTGGAACATGGGGTCAAAGCCGTCTTCCTCCTTACCCACAGGCAGCCGATGGGTGGCGCTATGACGTAACGGACGAGAGCTTACTCAGATACATACAGTGTTATCAATCAGGAGCCCTAATCATTACCTCAGTGAATCTCAAATTGAGAAAGAGATATCTTCTCCATTAATGTATGCGAGGAAGATTTAGATACGTTCAATTGATTTCATAAGCACAGTCTTAAATGTGGACATAGTATTTCATGCAGCCATGGATGACAACTAGATTTCAAATTCGTGAACTCAAGAATTCCACTTAAAAGAAATCAATCACAAATATTTCAGCCATTTTCTTTTTGACGAGGAATCATCATTAAATGCTTAATGATGCATCTAAAACAAACCTTTGGATAATTACACATCCATCTCATTGGTCAAGGATGGATGCAATCCAGTTAGGTGAGGTTATCAATCATTCAGGCTAGGCTGAACAGGGCTCCACGATTTGTACGCAACATGCGACAAATGCTCCACCAAAAAAATGCTGCGAGGTCTGTTTCCTAAACTGGTGTGGTTGCTAACTCCAACCCTGGACCAAACACTAAACCCAAGGCTAAATCTACATCTAACCTAAAACCTAACGTAAATGTAAAACCCATTGGCTATCCTAATCCTACCCCTATATTCTTGAAAACACAAAAATGTCACCAGGACATTTGTCATATCCAGGGTCCAAGGGTCCAAGGTTCCAGGGTTCAGGTTGAAGTTTGGGGGTTTGTGTGCATGCAGGCCCTTGTTGAAGTTTAGACATTTTTGGGTCCAGATCCCCTACATGTATGTTGCATTAAGTTTCATTTCGTCTAAGCCCAAGTTGGTGTTATATTTAATCACTACATGTACATGTATGTGATGAAATCATAACTTTTGTTGCATTTCCATATGGTCTAAAAAAAACCTTACTGTTCATTCTATCTTCCGCACTATGATAGTAAGGTATAATGAGGGTAAGTCTCACAAGACCCTCAATCAGAATATTGGTACTACTACATGAATAGTTCAGCAAGCTTCGAACCAACTACAATGTAGAAAATATTAGACCAAATGAAGAAAGAATCCCAACTGGGAATGAAATGAACTGGGAAGCAGACAAAAAAAAATTAGACAAAATAGTCATTACGAAAATGTAGCTAGATCATGGATGAGTAGATAAATAGGATGAGACAATGGGGGGGGGGGGATTAGACTAATTAAATGAAGAACCCTTCAAGTATAATATAACACTGAGACATTCAGAGTTGGTAAGTGCCAGACAGACCATTTTTGGATGCCTTTGTATGCTGTAGGCACACAAGAGGTCTACTCTAGGGTTTGTTTTCTGGATATGCTTCAATTTCTAATGAAAATTAATGATACACGTGTTTGGTCTAACAGTAATAAGAATAGTTACTGGTAGCAAGTTTATCCAAAATTATACATGAGCAGAAAATATGCACTCTTGATGACCCCAAAACAAGCATTGCTTGCCGGACATAGCACCACTTAGTGTGAGCTAAGTGGATTCCACCTATAAAGATGTCATTGCAAAACATGTACAATTAATAGCCCATCAACCTGTATTCTGGGAGGACAACAAGATAAAATTTAATTTGAACACACACTTTTCAAAAATAAAATAGCACTGTGATTTTGGGAACCTACGTGTACTGTACATGTACTGTTTTGATTTTAGAAGGTTACAAATTGTTTATTTGAGCATTACAACAAAGACAGTGTTTGAAAAATACAATCCTCCACAATCCCCATTTCAAACACTGTACCAGTTCAAAGCAGACAAACATTAATTGAAAAAAATTGCTTGTTTGAGAGTTATTATGAGTGCCGATGTACCGATTAACTAATTTATACCAAATCTGATTATTTAAGATCCAAATCCTGGTGGAAAACATATCTACACTGTACATGTACACTTTAAGATTTGTATGATTTAAAGAGCACCCTGTATTTACATGTAAGCTGGATAGAGTCTTTTTTTTAAAGAATTTCAGTTTTAAAATATTAACTGAAAGTTGTTTAAATGCACCTGTTTTATTAACAAGGAAACCAGCATTGGTCGCAGACATGTAAACATGTGCAATTGGTGAAAAACATTTATTTTTGTTTGAGTGTATCTACAAATAATCTAAGTAAAACAAACATATATCAATAATTGTTTCTTTCATTCCATTCCAACCTGGACTTTCCACTGTCTGCTTGAAACACTGTACACGCAACCATTGAGCTAATGTACATGTAGCAGCTACATGTATGCACATGTAAGTTCACTATATCTTATGTTAGTTGTATGATCATGTTATGCTATAAAAACATTTATCAATAAAATGACAATTTACGTGATACATTGCCAATTCTTTTTTGCCGCTAAACCATTTTCCCCAAGACCTACATGAATAAAATGCTATAAACATGTAGGTTATTTTGAAAGTGATGGATACAACAGCAATTATAAGATGATCAATTGCATTACATGTACATCTTCATGAATGACCTGAAAGCTAGAAATCTTACCTTCTTCACCATCTTCTTGGCAGTCACCTTCCCCTTCTTGGCCTTCATGTTGGTTTTACTTCCCCCTGCAACCCCCTTCAATTTCTTATTCTTCACCGCTTTCCCTTCCTTCATTGTTTTCAGCGTTAGCTTCAGCTGCCCCTTGCTGAAGTTTGTCTCCTGCACCCTGAACTGCACAGGGAAATCCTGCCCCTTCCTCTCCCCTCCTTCCCCTTCAGGCTTCATACACGCTACCATGTTTGTTTTGGCGGCCATCTTTGTTCTGTCCTCATCATCATCCTCCCCCGACTGATGCTCTAACACGAGATGCCGGGCACGCTGCTCCTCACAGTCTGCTCTCTCCTCCGCACTAGAAGAAGTAGACTCCTCCTGAGCAGCCATTTTGTTTTTGACTCCGTCACGGTTATCAACGCTCTCCTCCTGGTCAGATAGCCCTTCGCTCTCCTTGGCATTAACCTCCTTTTCCATAATAGTCCCAGTTTCTCCAGCAAACGACGATGCCGGCTCGATAGTCGCCTGACCCTCCGCTACAGCCTGACTTGTGCTAGGTTCCATTATAATAATAGTAGCAGGTCAATACTGGGTTCAGCACTGCCGACCCTTAGCTCTCCTAGCTCCTCGCTATTACTGAAGAGAAATCAAATCCTTCTGAGCTCTTTTGCCAGCACCTAGCCGGCCATGGTATGAGATATATTGTTGTTCAATATTCAGTGATGTATACTTCCATGCCATTGAATAGGATGATGTTGAATGCATCAACTCTGCAAGCAAAGAGAGGATGGAAAAGCTATTAAAATATCATGTTTCAAATCAAGTTTGCTTTCATAATATTGTGATCATTGCACAGTATAGTAACAAAGATTGTACATATATTTTCATATCCACAGTACATAGGTGTACACAATTATTGACAAGCCATATGGAATATTGTTGACTATCAACATAAAAATCAAGGCCATATTTTGAAAGTCTGATGTACTTACATTTCAAATGTATATTTTCACAGAAATTGAGTGTAAATAACAATAAAATTGTAGCATATACATGTAAACCTAGATGAATAAAGAAATAGGCATACAATCTGGACATGCATACAATGAAAATCTATCTATAGCTCAATGTCAGTTAATCTTATGTGTCAAGGAGATGAAGTATTCAATATCTTTACAATTCCATACTTTTTATTATTCTGTTAGCAAACTGTACATGCATGAGAAACATGTTTCCATTAATTCTTTTCAGTGCATTTCAATATACCGTTAAACTACATTTGAAAAAGCATATATCGAAATTACAAATGTGATTCTTTCCGCTGCTCACAATCATCATAATCCAATTCAATATGGTTGCATGATTGTATCGAAGTACAGAGAATGGCTGCATGCAGTGGATATCTTACGCTTTCCACTGCACAGATCTGGTCATAATAATATGCATCATTTCACACATCTACAGCCGCTGAACAAACTCACTCTCTCACAGCAGAGACAATTATCAGAGCAACTCAGAATCCATTTACCAATTGCTCCTTAGCTCTCAATCCTCTCTCATTTACTCCATGTCATCTCCTATATTTCATTTCCCTCGCTCTTGTCTCATTTCATTTTATTTCATTTCATTCCCTTTCCTCAACTCCTATATTTCCCTTTCCTTCATCTTCTCTCCTTTCCCCCTTTATCATCACTTCTATTTAATTTTCCTTACTCCCCTCCCTTTCGTTTTTCTCTCATCTTGTATTCTCCCTTTTCCTTTCCTTCCCTACCATTCCCTTCATCCTTTCCTTCTCCTCTTCTTCTGCCATTCCTTTTTTTCCTCTCAACTCCTATAGACTCATTTTACTTTCTTTCCCTTCCCTTCTCTTCTTTTGCTTTTTCTTCTTTCACCTTTTTTCTTTCATCTCTTCTATTCTTTCTAACTTCCTTTCTTACCTCCACTATTCCCTCTTTTCACATCCCTGCATCATTCTCCATTTCCTACCCGGTTTCCATCTCTTCTCTCCTTTTTCACTTCTCTTCCCCTCCTTCGTTCTTGCCTGTCCCATGTAACATTTCAATTATTTCCAGGAGCATTTAACTCTTCCTCCCCCTTCATGGCTTGCATTGTCTGTTTGATTCCTCTACTTTTCATCCTGATCTAAATAACGAATCCTTCTTGGTTTCATGATTCCTATCTCACTGCTGAATTAATGATATAGAATATGGGTCAGATATATGCTAAGTTCATTTTCTAAATTCACATCCTGACTAAGTGGAATATTAATTAATGTCATACATATTGTATTTTCTTTTTGTTTCAAATAATCAAAGACTTTCCTTTTTATCCTGAAAGCAGTAAATTTTAGATTAGAAATATTTTGTTTTGTCTGCAAAGATTTAAATAAACAATAAACTGATTTTCATATTGCAGGTGAGACACAATTTTACATCCTTCCTGAGCACATTGTTTACATTATTAGTTTTGTAAATAAAATAATAAATGCCTACAATGAATATGGATATTTGTATCACATTGTATAGAATACAGGCAGGAATAAACTGTACATTTCCCCTGCACTTCATGCCTTCTAAACACTACCTACAAAAATAGCATCTCTTCTCTTTCCCCCTGTGCATAATTTACCCCACTAGACAGGGGGCTCTAAAGTAAAGGGTAATAGACGGTTGCTATGGGCACATGACGGTAACTGGTATGCCAAGAATGAACTAGTTGTGCACTCAGTTGCCTTCAACGAGAGAGACTGATTACGACTCCCTCCGCTAATAAATGAATCGACCCTCTGCTACTATTACCTTCGTGATTATATTTACAAACAATATCTTTCAGAATGTTTTAGTAATCAACCTTATGGATTGTTTTTAATATGAATCATGTACAATAATTATATGTAGGGGGCGAACATACAGTGAAGGTATAATGAACATTTGACATTGATAAACAACACAGGTGCATCGAGCAAAGAAGCTCTCGCAAGCTTTACAATTTAAAAAAAGGAGATTTGATTGAAGAAAACAAAATCGTTATCAATTTGAAATTGCACATTTTTTGTAAATCATCTAAACTGAGTTTCCATAAACAAAGGAGCAGACCCTACATGTACATCCTTCAAACACACAGTATTACACTGAAATTCAAAATATTTATAAAGTCTGCTTAATACCAGACTAACAGTTTTTTCTTTTTCTTCCAGCGCTAGAAGGCTAGAAGTACACAGTGTTGCCCCCTACAGCAGTACTGCCTGGTGTATTCTGTGAGTGAGAGCAGATATATGCATGACGGTGTTTTATTATGAAGACATACTGGTAGAATGCAGAAGCTTAATGCCATGTTACTAGGCAATGTGATGGTTGCCATAGCAACATTAATATAAAAATAATGAAATTAATAACTGTTAGAGATGGTGGTATCTTTTTTTCGTACTGTATATTGAATGCAAAGAAGTGTCAGGCTTGAAATCATTGATGTCACCCACTGGTTCATAATACATGTACAACTATGATGTATACAGTACATATGAAAATGTAATATTTGTATATATGATGGTGGTGATGATGATGGTGATGATTATGATGATGATGATGATACCGTAATTAACGTTGTATAAACCGCCCTCGTGTATTAACCGCACCCCTCTTTTTCGCCCTTTTTTTTTTGCCAAGATTTTTTTTTGTGTGTTTAAGATCATTGATGTAAATTTTAAAAAAGTAGGGGTCCTAGGATAGAACCTTGTGATACACCTTGTAATAGAAGAAAAATTGGAGGAATTATTATTATAAACTTCATATTGAGATCTATCAGAAAGATTACTTTCAAACCAAGATGACAGACAAATTTGAGTGTTGTTCTAGTTTCCGAGTGGAATTACTGAGCTGGGAGACATTGCCAGGCATAGCGCCCGGTGGAGGGGCATAAATCGAAACTTTAAAAAAAAAAATTAAAAAAAATTTTGGTGTACCGTGTATAAGCCGCACCCCCGACTTTGAATTTTTTCGGCGGCAAAAAGGTGCGGTTAATATACCGTTAATTACGGTAATTATGACGATGATAATAGTGATTGGTGGTGATGATGATGATGGTAATCAGGGCTCTACACTAATAATAATAATAATATGGATATTTATATAACGCTGGTATCCGCCAGGCTCTGATGCTCATGGCGCTGTACATATTACAATCACAAACATATCACTTTCTTAAAGGGAAAGTCCACCCCCAAAATAAGTTTGTTTCGATAGAGGCAGAATAATAAGAAAATCAGGTGAGTGAAAGTTTGAGCAAATTCTGAATGAAAATAAGAAAGTTATGAATTATTGAAGTTGTGATCAATCAAATACAAATTTGCAACTCTGTGGCTTATTATACGAGCTCTCCTTCATTTGCTTTGTGCATAATATTCCATAAAATCATGTTTTCTTCGTTATTGATGACGGAATATATATTTGTTCCTTGCAGGGGGAGTATAGAAACATATTTGCAATTATTATATTTAGGGTGCATGTATGGTTGAAATTTTTCTTGAGGGAAAATGAAAAAATTTTTAGTACTGAGCAAATGGAAGTTGAGCTCGCATGATACGTCATAGAGTTGCCAATTTGTGTTTGATTGATCACAACTTCAAAAATCCTAACTTCCTTATTTTTAATCGGAATTTGCTCAAACTTTCACTGACTTGTTTCTCTCATTTTTCTACTCCTTTTAAAACTAACTTAATTTCAGGGTGGACTTCCTCTTTAACTAAAACAAAGTAAACTAAAACAACACAAAGTAAACTAAAACAACACAAATTATTACACTTCATTGAAATAATTGAATAGCACTATTTAGAAAGAGATGGCTTTTTGATGGTAATGATGATGAAAATGAAGATAATGATGAGAGTCATGGTGAAGGTGCAGTTATAGCATTGGTAGCAGTGGTGGCCCTACCTTTAACATTTCATTGCCAAAATATCCAAAGTTCAAACAAATACAGAAGGACCAAAATTCCTGGCTTGACAAATTGGACAGGTTCAATTTTGTTTTATTGTCCATCAGCATATTTTAGAATTCCCTAACAAGCCAGTCATGATCTGGGTTTGCACACACGTAGCCCCTTTTAGATAATTGCAACCACCTTTTCCTTCCTACATTTGCCAAATTGACATCGTAAAAAAAAGAATTAGGGTCCAAGTCACAACTGCAAGGATACAAAATGTGAATATTTGTGACATGCTCAATTATTTACATAAACATTAAATTTCTATAAAACTCTGAAGGAATTATATTCAGTGTTGTAATGTCATTTCTTATCGAAAGAGGATGAAATTTTCCTCCCAACATGAAAATCTTCACAAATAAACTGGTTGTCATAATAACAGAATGGTTATATCACCCTTCTCTGTATATTTAAATTCTTAAAACATTAAAATAGCATTTCAGGGTAGTCAAAACTGTAATGAAATGGTGGTTTGTTGCACATATGTACACTTCTTCCTTTGACTCAAAACAAAAGAGTCAAATTTGTCTAGTTTATGTGGATGAAATATTCAATTACATTTTTTGTATATTAAATTGCAAAAATTCCACTTCTTTCATTTTCATCGCAAATATCAAGTAGTAAAACATTTCAGCAAAAAAAATATGCTTTAGCAAACGCTGCAATAACCCTGAAAATTTGTTCTGCTTGTAAAATTTATCAAATACAATTCTAATAGCAACATACTGTGAATACATTTGCAGAAATCGTAGAATACTCCATTACGCGATTGAACGAACTTGAAAGGGTCTAACGAGGCAGACTAACAGATCACATTCCATTCCAATGTTCATTGCCAGGGAGGCCTAGCTGCTTGGCAATGAGCAGCTAAAGCTATGTGCGAGGTTAAAGGTCAAAGTGTCTGCAATTTGTATGCTATCAATCACGGTTATCGGTGAGTGTAAAAACTTATAGAGGGCCAAGCTGGATGTGAGCTTGTGAGGGCAGGATTTCAGTTTATCTGACTGAAGGAAACAATTAAACAGACTGCTGCACCTAACAGTAGTTCCCACAACTTAAATCATCTATCACCTACACGTACAACCCATTGGACAAAGCAATATTTTACATTTCATAATCTTAATAGTCAACCATATTTTATGCATCTCTTCTTAAGATGAATGATGAATCCTTGAGGTAAATAAGCATGAAATTGAAAAGAAACATTCTAGATAGCTACATACAGATTATATTTGAATCATTTGTAGCAGTTCAAATTTTAAGGGATTTAGACAAACCATGATACATTATATATATATAGTTTTTAAATAGAATGTGTTTTTGAGAGCAGAGAACAAGTGGATCCTTGATGATTTAATCAATGACAGTTTAGTACATGCAGCTTTGTAGGATTTGCCAGTGGTACCAACCACTGCCAAATCCATATATTCATAACAAGTGATCATCTGAAATTACCCCTCCTGTTTCACAATGACATTGGCTCATGTAAACCTATTTTCAGTTTTCACCTACATTTAGGTGGAGAATGGCAAACATAGATTAATTTCTTGCCAAAAGGAGTAAAGGACTTCAGAACCAAGCTGGGATCCAAACCCTCAACCTTTTGAGACACAGGTAAATGAACCACTATACCTAAACCCCTCCAGTATAAACTATCAGATACCATGAACCCACAATACAAACAGTAACAATTGTAGACAAAATACATGTGATCAATATTGGAAAATTATGAAAACGACATCTTAATTGCTCTTCAGTGGCTTATCAATTACTGGTCCTAAAAAAATTGAAAAAACCTTATAAACATATAAAAGATTGTTGATCTGAAAAAAAGAACATATTCAGGACTAAAAAAAGGTCAAATGGAGGGGATATATACATGTATAATATTGCATACAGAGCATATTTGACATTATTACCCGTATCAGACATCTGAGCTGGTCATTTACAAAACCGTATTGCCCTAGTTTTCACTAGCAGTGGGAACGGAGGGGTATATTCTTTGTATTTTCCTTGGTCTCCCTGCGCGTATTGACTTTGCGTGGAGAGACGAGTGAAAATATACCTTGGTATTTTCCACGGTCTCGCATTTTCATTGCGCATCTATTAATATTATGCGTACGAGAACCTGCGCACTTTGCGCGCACTCTATTGTGACGTAATAATCACACCAAATACACACTGTTTGTAGTGTATTGAAAATTTTGTCAAGCACTGGATGCACAGTGTTGGTTTGACAAAGTTTGTTCAGTTCTTGAGATTGTCATGGTGGATGTCTGTATTTGCTCTAGATGTCTGATTTGGATAACAATAAAAATATTGACTGGCTTTACTTTCGGGGGATATCAGAAATATTGACCGCGCTAAGACCATATTGCCCTCGTCTTTCGACTCGGGGCAATATGATCTGAGCTTGGTCAATATTTCTGATATACCCCTCAAGGCCAGTCAATATTATATAAATATATTAGATACTCTTATTAGATAGCATAGCGGCGATTACTCTGTACTAGTTTCCGAGGTAAGGACTGTTTTTATGACTTGGCGACCTCAACTAATTTAACTAGTCGCCAGGGCAGACTAGGCGTAAATACATCTGGATCTATTCTAAAGTAAAAGTCAAATTTGACTGAACATAAAAAATGCACCCAACAACAACTGTGTACCGTTTTGATCAATAAAAATGTGTTGTGATTAATATATGAAGCATTTAAAGGCACAAGATTTTAGGCCCTTATATAATTGCATACCGTAACACGAAGGGGTGCGGGCCCACGAGCGTGCGTGAAGTTTATGGTCGCTAACTTAATGCACGTACGCCTGCCCGCACCCCTTCGTCGGTATGCAATTGTATTGTAATTGTCAGAAATTATTATAATGTCTTCGTTTTTAGGAAAAATACTCCAAAAGAGATAAGAAAATTGACACGAAAGGGGTAAGAAACATAACAACTTTTAAGCCATGACCATAATTTGAACAATTGATGAAGATTTAGTTGATTTTTGGTATGTTTTAGTAGGCGGAATCGGGTAAAAAATGGATACGAAAGTACACTAGCGCCAACTTTATAATCATCAGAATCATTTTCATCGGGCACTATTAAACGGTAACCGATATCTATTCATATTGAACACATCATCATTCAAGATCATACAAAACAACATAAATCTATTAATCTATTCAACTAATCTTCATGTAACAGTGAGATTTACATTCACTTTGCAGTGCTCTCATATTTTACATATTCGCTGGAGCTACCGCCCGTTTTCGGGTAACCTCCTACACACAATACACAGCACTTGCATTTACAACACGGGAAAGGTCAGCGCTGCATACGAGCTAGCGCGCGCTAGCTTTTCGATCCAGATCCAGGTCAGTCAAAAAGAAACAAATTATCTCATTTTGTACAGAATTCAAGGATTATTCATCAATGTTTTATACCATTGACTTACCTTTATTTTCCTGCTCTTTCGTCTCACAAATGTGTGCTTAGAATAGTGTCAAAAACAGCAAATCATCGAAAAAATTATGTTTATGAATGAGATGAGTGTCGCGGGAAAATGTAAACAATGCGTAAATTTATACTTATGTCAAGCTATAGATGGCGCTCGAACAAATTCCTCCCATCCACATTTCGGTAGCGGGTTTCAATTTTAGAGTTCTGTGGTTTCAGTCAGTAGGATTATCACAAATTTCCAGTGGCACATGGAATTTTGGTGGTTGTAGAAATTAAATGAGGTGTTGATCAACAATGTGATCTCAAAAGAAAAGGGGAGTAGAAGTTCCTAACATGATGTCTTTGTAGCCTCATTTGCCTGACATTACATAATAGCTACCATAAATGTTTCTTGTAGGCTTAGACTCTATCACCTGTAATTCTTTTTAGAATGTATTAAATCCAAAAATAAATCATGATGTAGATCTACATCAATTAGATTGTTTTGTATCATAAGGACTTATAAATTATTCAAGTTGTAAATCATCCAAACAATCATCTTTAGCTGATATTACAATTTGTTCACATGAGTCTGTCACAACTATTTATGAAAATGTGACCAGAAATGACTCCCTCTCTCTTTCTTCCCTCAATCACTCTTTACCTCCCTCTTTATTTTATTTTCTCACTTACCTTTCTTCCTCTTCTCTGGTCTACTTATTTCTTACATTTCTCTTCCTCTCTCTCTCTCTCACTCTCTCTCTCTCTCTCTCTCTCTCTCTCTCTCTCTCTCTCTCTCTCTCTCTCTCTCTCTCTCTCTTCTCATCAAACATCTGTCTCTCTTGTTCTTTTCTTTCTCTATTTTCAATTTCATATTCAAATTCTCATTAATTCTTGCTGAATCCTCTATACTCGGACTCACACGGACAATAAATTTACCAGTAAACAGTCTGAAGTTTAATGTCCATTTTATTAAGCACAGATCTTAATCTTGGACAGCATTGCACTGAGTTACAGAGAGAACATGCTGAATCTTACAATATCAACAAATCTATTTCTATAATATTCATTTTTTATTTCATTTTATTTATTTCCACAATAACAGCAAATAAAGTTACAAAGCTTTGTTTTACAAAGTCATTCCAATCAAAATATTAACAAAATAAAAAGAAACATTATATAGTATGCGCAAAGCAGTAAAAGTATACAATTGAGACTAAGAAGATAATTGCTTGCTGTATTGCGGAAGAAACCTAGGAAAGCAGCTTGTAATTTAGGCTCCCTAACATAAAATATAATATCAACAAGTAGAAAATGCAAGGACAAAGATGGGGAAAACGGAACGATACAAAGCAAGACAATACATGACAACACAAGCACAAGAAGGGGACACTGAAGCATACAAGACTGGAACAGTTTGCCAGAAAATATTGTGGTCTTGGCAACAACGGACAAATTCAAAAGACACATAGATAAGCATTGGTGGGAGTATCGCTTCGATCTCCCATGACTCCACTCCTGTGCATGCGCATACACTCAGTAATAAATCCAACAGGCTAAACCTACATTATAGAAGCAGTGACCGGGAATTACAGGCCAACGCCTTCTACCCGTACTTGATGATGATGATGATGATGATGAAGCAATTCAATATGATGAAAAATTGAGGTTTGGACATTTTCTATAGGCAGAGTGGCCCATTAGCAGGCCCCAAAAAATGAAATCCTCTGAATATAATCAGCATTTTGAAGTGAATATTGACTAAGGATCATCAGAAGAATTATTTACTATTATTTGTACCAAGATTGATAACTTTCATGAACTATAAACAAATAACAAAAATTGATTTATTAATTCTCATATCAAGTTGTGAAAAACATAATCCAAGTGACACTGACCTAAAATGACCTTTGACCTTGACTTTGTGACCTGGATTTTGTGTCATATGATTTGTGATACTTGATAACCCTTTAGTCTAAGTTTCAATGAATAATAAGTTATACTTTCAAAATTATATAAACACATCCAAAACTTAACCTCAGGTTCAGTTTTTGATGATGACGCCACAACACAGTCTAAGGTGGTTGACCTGCAATAACCTTTGACCTTGACTTTGTGACCTGAAATTCTCCTCACATGATTGGGGATAACTCATAACTCTGAGGGCCTCATCCATTATCTATTTCCTCTTGAAGCTTTTGAAGGATCTCATTGGCTGAGAGAGTCCCTGATGCCACACCGATAGTCTTTGCTCTTGATTTTGATCCCTGTATTAAAGATGTGTGTAACAGGTGAAGAAAGAAAAGGGGAAGGAAGAGAAAAAGTTGTCAGAGTTACGCCATGTTATTCTTACCTACTATTACATGGTCTACTCCTGAAAACTTTACCTACAATTCAGTATCTAAACCATGAATAGTATTGATGATACTTCACTAAAAAAATTATGCATGTGTTTTATCCAGTTGTTTTTAAAAGACGGCAACATCAACTACAACTTAGAGCTCTTGCATTGCATTTCAGTAGCTTAGGGAAATGTATTAGCATGAAAAGACATGTCTGGAATTCAAAATACATGATCGTTGAAAATCATAATGTCATCACACAGAGGTGAGATGTGGAGCTGGTAAATATATGTACTAACTTGATTAGGCTTAATGTTACTCCCTATATATCTATGTAACATATGTTTTATGGACCTCTGCCTTGTGTAGATGAGTCTGAAATAAAGTTCTGAATTGAATTGTATTGAATTACCTTAACTTATATTCAGATATGTTAAAAAATACCTTCCAATGAGCAAATATCACTAGCTATTATGCCTTTTGTGTTCCGGTCGCGACTCTTTGTGCAACTGCTTTTCGCTAAGGTACCTTACCCTTTCCAAAGAGACATCACTCTTACGAAGCCCAAGTACGGAAGCCAGGTACTTGACAAGCTCAGTGTTTGCAGCTCCCTCTACCGGAGGAGCACTGATCTGAACCCCTACACCTTCTTCTTCTATACCTGTAGGAAGAAAAAAAAATTAAGTAATCATTATTTTTCTAAACTGAATAATATTTGTAAACCCTGCCACATGCTGAGTTAAGTAGGATGTAGATATTGGTCAATAGCAAGCACAACCAAATTGCAATACTGCATTTATTTTACTTAAGACAAAATTAGTATTAACTGACATAGACTTACAGTACCTTCTCACTGGATACAAGTGTGGAAGATCCTAGACCCTTGTAGAAAATAATGGGTTATACCCAATAAATAAAGAAAAGTACCGGTACCAATTTAGGACAATTGGGTATTAATTTTAAAAAGAGGGTACAGAATAGTTAACATCTGTTCGATCGGTTCTATATGAACGGGGAATTAGATTAATAATGTTTGCATTACTTAACTATTCAATAAACTAGACCCACTTCTGAGTATACAATATGACTGTTAATAGTTAATAGAGTGGCACTGGTACTTCCTTTTATTGAACACTGAAGAACAAGCTGAAATCTTATCTTTTTTAACAATACCTGTACTTGGCACTAGGACATTCATCCAAACTTTCTCGTCCAAACTTTCTCATTCTTTCTATTTTTCTTGTGCGCCTCGGAATAGCATTGTCTAGATAGACGGCGCTATAAAAATTGCCTATTATTATTATTATTATTATTAATATTACTGTACAAACTCTCAGTATAATGAGGGCATTATGCTGGTCTAACTTCTCTGTATTTTAATAGTCTTTAAGCCCTGATCAAGGTAGCATCTCTGGTCTCATAGGCCCGAATTCACAAAGGAGGTTCGTTGACAAACCTAGGTTTATGTGCGTCATATGACGCGTTTCGTCGTTGAAACAAACCTAGGTTTGTCTGGTTTGAAACGCGTTGAAAAGTGTCATATGACGCACATAAACCTAGGTTTGTCGACAAACCTCCTTTTTGAATTCGGCCAAAGAGTTTGTTATAACTGGATTCCATCCATTGTAAATCTTGTGTTTCCCTTCTCACCTGTGATGCCATTGTGTTTAGCTCCTGGCTTAGCCTGGATCGAGATTGAGATAGAACCATCTTTTTTCATCATGACTGGCCCTGATGAAGATGATGCAGAACTAGCCACTGATGAAACACCTGTATTCTGATAGAGAGAAGAGAAAGAGGAATATGTACATAACTTGTTATGGTAATATCATCTGCTGAAAGACAAGAGGGCATTAACTCTCTGTATTAGAATTACAGGTTCACAGCCTTCTGGCTTGAAAGACATTACAATTACACAGTTAATGAGCTCCATGATTGTGGTGTCTTCTCAGGTAAATTAAACTGTAAATTTCCTTCAACAAGATCACATCAATAATCTTTCCTTTTTTAATCAGGCAATTTGTTGTCATTAGTGTGAATTCATTTTATAACCAAGAAAAATAAAAATGTTCTTCTTCCCATTCTCAGGAAATAGTTCATCATTCTACAGGAGGGCATAACAAGTGACAAACTAGAGAATGTTTTTGGCATATCAATTCAATTCAATTTTTTCAATTTCAGGGAGCTAGCAATACTATTACTAGCCTAGACTATCACCATGATTACTTTAATAGTAATAGGGTCTACTAATAGGCCTAGTATTACCGTAAATTCAGATTTAGTTTACATCACTCTTTACAAGGGGAGGTGAGTATACCACTCGAGGTTAGGTTTGAACAATGATAAGATCTTCATTTACAACAAAAAGTTCTTAATTTTTGCATTGTCTAGAGTCTATATTTTTTATTTTCTCCATTTTTTTGTCTTTCACTTTACCTTGATTTACCTTTATGTTGGGCTTCAAGTAGACTCTATAATTACTTATAATTATATGCCCCTCTGCAGCAGGATTATAATGTAGGGTCTATGTGTGTACTACTACTACTGGGGATTGCGCCTATGTCAGAGCTTTGGACAATGCAACAGCAAGGAAATATTTCTTTGGGTTCAACATGTCATCTTTAGCTCTCCATGCTTTTTCCAGGTTTCTTCAACTATTTCTTTCTTTTGACCGTTTTGTCACTCACTCAGCTCAGATTCAGTTTCATTCTTTCCAGTTTTCTTTTCTTTTCTTTTTTCCTTTCCTTTTTTCTGTCTTTCCTGCTTTACTTTTTCTTCTTCTCTTAGTCTTAGAATTCAATTGAAGTGTCTGAAAATGACACTAAAGTACAACAGTCGGATCCATGATTATATGATCGTGAGGTTTGACCAAACTGAAGGTTAGCGGTACAGCGAAGCCACCCTACCGGCTATGTCTGGGCGACAGAGAGTCTTTCCGGAAAGGCAGGTCAAAAACCCAAAATGTACTTTAGAAAACCTACCTTTTTAACCGCTCTTCCATCTGATTTTTTCCTTGGCATGACACTTGAACCCGTGAACAGTCTATAGATGATTGCAGTGGATTTAATCATCAAAATGAAATAAAACGTTCAACGTTTCAAAATCAAATGCAGAGTCAGCGATGCAGACGACTCGGCCGCTCCAGTTAAGTAGGCTAATTTCCAGGCAAGTTTGATTTAGTGTTTCCTTTTTATGATTCTTATTTCAGCTAAAAAAAAAATTTGATTAATCCATTATTAAAGAGGCTTTCGAAATATATTTCAAGGGTGTTTAGTAAATATATAAACTAAAAAAACACAAATCTCTCCTGAATTTATTTTGAATCAGAGGATGCCTCTCTTTTGCCTGTAACTTAGGCTATCATTGGCGTAAATAACTAGGCGTTGTGGTGTGCGCCTGTAATCCAGCTAAAAAGTGGAAGTTACAAACTGATTCAGCCGAGGACGCAGGTTCGAAACTGAGTCACGTCTTTCGGATGGTGACGTTAAAAGGTCGGTCCCCGGCCCCCCCACTCAGTGTTATTTAGGGTACGCATATGCTTGTTCCAACCGACCCCCCCTTTTCAGCAAAAGTCCGGTGTGTAAAGTCAATACGGCTCGACCTTTTTCTTTTGTATACGAGCCTTTTTCAGCACCCCCCCTTTTCAGCAAAAGTCCGGTGTGTAAAGTCAATACGGGTCGACCTTTTTCTTTTGTTACGAAAAGGACATTTTGGCAACACGCATGCGGTCATTTCGAAACCTGAGTGGGGGGGCCGGGGGTCGGTCCCAGACGTAATTAATCATATCTGATTGATACACGTCTGTAAAAACCCAATACACACACACACACACACACACACACACACACACGCATTCTCACATCAGGGCCTTTGTGGGGCACCTGATTGTGGGGTATTTCTGTGCGTTCCAGATATACCTTGTGGTCCCCTACTAGTGGGGTATGTACAACCTGGCGATAACAACCCGGCGGTGTGCTTACGATGTTACCATAAAAAAGTGTGCAAGTTTTAGCACACGCTCACAAAAAGTCATTTATGGGGTACCACTTCTAATGCCCCGCAGGGCATAGGACACCGAATATACAGTCATTTGAAAGACTTTACTCTGTGGGGTCCTGAAAAAATACCCCACAAAGTAAAAATGCCTCACAAGGGGTATGTGAAGCGCACATAAAACCCCACAAGAATGCTGAGGTGAGAGCCCACACACACACACACATGCATAATTAAAGATAGTTGAGTTTTGTTGCGGGGGCACGGTCGCTACACACTCCTTTTTGTTTTTTTGTGTCAAATTTGAGAGAATAATAATGATAATAATAATAATATTGTTTACCCAGGATAGCCTCATCAGTATTCATACTGTTCTCCCTGAGGGCCCTGCAATCATATTATTACAATTTATATGGCAAAATCATCTTTGTTTGATCAAAATCGGCTCAGAGATGGCTGAAATATCCATAAATATAACCTTTTCTAATATTTGGGGTGCCCCACAAATATTTGTTTTTTATAGCCGTTCCGTGTTGGTTATAATACGCACAACCAGTAGGCCAGTGTATTGTTATTATTAATTAATTAATTAACGGTAACGGTCACCAAATTTTTGTGAAAATGGAGCTGAATTAGTATGATCGTATTCAATCTAAATTCAAACATTTTGGAGTCTAAAATTACCTTCACAGCAATTTCAGGTTCTAAAGGGCACTAGAAATGTCATAAATAAGAATAAGAGCAATAACCATATACTTTGGAGGCATTTGCGGTCTTAAACAAAGACTCAACTATCCCTTTAAATGATATACTCAGTACACGCTTAAAAAAACTAAAATAAGAGCAACAACGTAAATATTCAAAACTGAATGATACACGCCAAAGAAATAAAACAACAATACACAATCGGGTACAGATCTTTATCAGTATGGAATGTGTTTCCCGACATAGCACCAATGACTTTAAACAAAATTAAATTCAGTTACAAAAGCGAAGCTGGTTCAGCATGGTATTTCAATAAGGAAATTTCTGTTATTCTACAGGATTACAAAAGGGGTTAAAAGAACCTTCCTGACATAGCAACGATGATTTTTTTTAATTTTTTTTTTATGTATAATCATCCCTATGTTCAGAGTAGAGGTTCTTTCTCCTGGCCTTGTCTTCGAGAAGAAACACTTTCAATATCCCTATAGAAAGAGAATAGGCTGGGGCTGTAGTGTCATTTCAAGAGAGAAAAACAACCTCAAGACATTCAAACAATAATGGCTGTACTGATGGGAAATAGACAGTATACCGCTTTTCAAACCAATATGATATGAATTAAGTTACAATATTTAGGATTTGGGCTTATATGAAAATGGGTACCACTACGCCGCCAGCTTAGCTGTTGGAGCTTACATGTAGGTTTCAAATTTCTCTGAAAATAGAATGAAAATCACTAGGCCTGCTTGCATGAGATTGAGATGAATAAGGAGTACCAAGATGGCAGTACCCACTGCTCTGTACTACTTAGGCGTAGAAAGGCTAGGGTAAATCAATGACGTATGTGAGAAGTCGGTGGGATATTCGTTGTCAAAGACGCTCATTTCACATTACCTACCGATCGCTGCAGATAGATGTAAATTTTGAATAAAGGGTAAGAGTATTGATGCTATAATCATGAGATATTGATATATGTGATGTGCCCTTGCTGATGATAGATTAGTGCAAAAGTATTTTTCGTTAGATAGGTTAAAAATATCGAAAAACATTGTCAACATTTGTTATTTTAGTCCCGTGTGCTTATTTTTATGTTTTTGATCTTGGGTCGTGTTTTTCTCTCTCGGTTAATCGTTGAAAAGGGTGACGAAACTGTTATTACCCCCAAAGTTCCAGTACACGTTTGTAAAATAAAAAGGAGAATGTATTACTTGATTGAGAAGGGCAGTGGCTCGTCTAAGTTTGAGTGAAGAACTAGAAATCTTACCTGTGGTGTTCAATTAATAATCAGATAATTAATGGCAATAACAGATATTGCATCAACAATATTTGTGTCTGTAGAAGAGGTGACCAAAGTTCACACAGATTTTTTATAGTCAAAGGATTTCGGAGATATCGCGATCTAAAAATACGACGTCCGATCGTGCGTGCGAGCTGCATCTAAAAAAGTCATGAAAACAACGAAACCTAACTTCACGCACAGAGGTTTACAGCTGCTTTATACAAAAATACTGTAATATCATAATTTGCAAGGCAAAATATCATACAACCAGTCGGTACCACTCGTTACTTACAATTTTGAGGATATCTAGGGTGGTATTCTGAACATTGTTGTAAGTTTTGTGTTATCTTTTGTTGTATCTTCCAGAGATAACACAGCGCTAATATTGTTGTAAGTTGGTATTCTGAACATCATTTTGGGCGTAATTAGTTATTTGAGCGCTTATTACGCGCGTCATCATATGCGCTGTGGCATCTGGATCATGAAGAAAAATCACGCTTTTACTATATTGGTTAAGATGAGAGCATTAAAATCATCATATCCTAGCATGTAATTTCTTAGAAAGTTCTCATCTGTGATGTTTCCGGTCAACCCACAATTTTCTTCTAACTCGTTTATTGGCACGAAGTTGGATCTGGGCAAGAAATATTGCCGCTATTATATCAACGCGAAAGATACAACAACCTCCTACCTGTTGTAAATATTGTTGTAAATACCATGCAAGATAAGATAAGATAAAAGATACAACAATTTTCAGAATACCAATTATCTTGTCATATTATCTCTCGTGCGCATATGCAAATGAGGATTAAGTGCCATTTTATTACTAATAAGCACAATTACAAGCGCACCAAAGTTTGAACGCAGGCGCGACCAAACAGATGAGAGAAAAGATACAACAAAAGTTACAACAATGTTCAGAATACCAACTTTATCTTAACTCCAAAGATACAACAATATTAGAGATAACACAGGGTTCAGAATACCGCCCCAGGTCTCAAAATGAAGATTTACAGACCCTTATCGGTAAGTAGATAATTTTTCGGAACGGAAGCAAAGAACTGCAAAATTTGCAGATCTTTTGTCAATATTTTCACAATTTCGCGCCCAATTCCAAAGAAAATTTTGTTTCTGGGTAATTTTTATGATCCTCTTTCCATTGGTGATATCAGATATTCATTCATTGTGCGAAGAAGAAGCAGACAGCTGCGAAGGTTTACTTACTGAAGCAGAATGTTGGAACTCATTAAAAGGCATGAATAATAATAAATCGCCAGGCAGTGATGGCCTAACAGTGGAATTCTATAAATGTTTCTGGTCAGAGATAAAAGACCTGGTGTTGGAAAGTCTGAATACGGGATTTTGTAATGGGGAGTTGTCATGGTCACAAAAACAATCTGTTCTTACTCTTATGTATAAAAAAGGTCCTAAGACGCGCCTTGGCAACTGGCGGCCAATATCATTACTCAATGTCGATTACAAAATCGCTGCTCGTGCCTTGTCACATAGACTAAAGCGTGTAATAAATACTATAGTATCGGTCGATCAGTCGGGTTTTATGAAAGGAAGGTCAGCTACTGAAAACGTACGTCTTATACAAGATATAATAGACTATTGTGAGTCAGAACATGTTCCGGGTATTATTATGTTTATCGATTTCAAACAAGCTTTTGACAATGTTAATCATTCTTTTCTTTTTAAAACGTTGGAAATATTTGGGTTCAAAGATACATATATAAAATGGATTCGCACACTATATCACAATGCATGTGGTAGTGTTATGAATTATGGATGGCTCTCAGAAAATTTCACAATTGAGAAAGGTGTAAGGCAAGGATGCCCACTATCAGCATTGTTATTTATTATTACTGCAGAAATCTTAGCGTTAAAGGTGAATCAAAATAAAGATATTAAAGGTATACAAGTTCTAGATAAAAATCATGAAGGACTTGAAACAGAAATTAAAATTGCACAATATGCAGACGACACGGTAATGACACTCAGTTCACTTGCGTCAGTGAGACATGCAATGGACGAAATAAAAAAAATTGGCAGATATGCTGGTATTTTGGTGAATTGGGATAAATCGAAAATAATGCAGCTTTCACAAAGATGTGATGCAAATGAAATTGAAGGATTGGCTTTTTCAAACGATCCATTTAAATTTCTTGGGATTTATGTAGGGATGAATATAAAAGAAGTAGAAACACTAAATTGGGAAGGAAAAATTGACAAGATTAAAAGAATTTTAGATTTGTGGAAAATGCGTCATCTGACGTACTACGGGAAAATCACAGTTATAAAGATGCTAGCTGCATCACAAATAGTATATGTGGCTACTGCTGTTCCAGCACCCAAAGATGCCATCAAAAGAATTAATAAGTTATTATACTCCTTTTTGTGGCGCTCAAAAACAGAAAAAATAAGAAGAAATATTTGTATTAATGATGTTACAAGTGGGGGGTTGGGAATGATTGATCTGGAAGCTAGAGTTAGTGCATTGCGTCTTTCATGGATAATGAAATATTTGAACTGTCAAAATACCTCATGGAAAACATTGTTTTCCTATTGGATTGACAAGGTTGGGGGAATACCCTTAAGTTTAGAATTTAACTGTCACAAGAAAGACATGGAAAAATTATGTAAAACAGCAAATTTGCCATATTTTTACTTTGATTTGCTTTGTATATGGTCTGAACTAAAATATGTAAATATTGAGGGGACGAATAACATAATGAGAACGATACTATGGAATAATAGTAATATTAAAATAAGGAACCGAATGCTTCATTTTAAGGTGTGGGAAAGAGGAGGAATAAAAAGAGTACACCATGTTCTTAATGACGGTCGATGGAAAAACTCTGACGAAACTGCCCAAAGATATGGGTTACCCAAAATGTTATTTGCTTTTAAGTTTGCTATGTTGAAAAAGGCTTTCCCCTTGGTATGGTTGCGTAAATCACAGGATGTAGAACGTGATGAAGTAATTGATTTACAGACCATTGAGATTTCGACAGGGGATATGATAGATTTGTCAAAACTTAATACGAAAATAATATATTCACTGATTGTGCAAAAAAATAAGAAAAAACCATATATTTTAAACGCATGGCAACAACGACTACACTTACATGCGGATTTTAATTGGTCATCTGTTCTACAGTTTAAATTTCATGTTATACGGAATAATAAAATCAGAGAATTTAACTTTAAACTTTTGCATATGATTTTACCATCACGATACAATTTATGCAAATGGAAGATCTTAGATTATAATACATGTGAGATATGTAATACGCTAGAAACCACTAAGCATATGATGTTGGAGTGTGAAAACGTAAGATTGTTTTGGAGAATTGTTTCAGGTGTAATCTTCAATTTATGTGGTCTAAATATTCAGATGACTGAACAGATTTTAATACTTGGTTATGAAGTTGAAAACTCAATTTGTCATTTAGTAAATTTAATAATAAATTTTGCTGAGTATGTAATATATAGAAACCACATAAAGAATTTACAATCATTTAATAGAACACATGCGAGAACTCTATATCGTAGTCTTAAATATGAGTTGACATTTTATTTGAACTGTAAAAGTATTAAAAGAGAAAATAACAATATGGTACAGAAATTAATTGAGATGCTGTAGACAACGAAAACAGATGTACTCATGAACAAACTAATGGGACGTTGCAATATTTTATTTGTTTATGATTGTATATGAGTTGAATTTGTTTATTTGAAGGAAAAGAAACAAAAAGGAATGTCAATTTGAATAATAAAGTTCCTCTGATTGAGGTTAAAGAGAAAAAAAAAAAATATCAGATATTTGAAATCTTTGGTCACTCGCGAACGTTGGTCACACCACCATATAAACTATATGGGCATTGTATGATTTTCCTTCATAATGCATTTTGTTTTTGTCAAACAGCTGGAACAAGAGTAATGCCACCATGGAAACAAGTTTAGAGGACTTGAACAAGGCCATCTTACTGGCGGTGAAGAGTGGCCAGCCTGTCCTTAATCTCAGCAATCGGGATTTGGCAATCCTTCCGGACACCTTGCAGAAGCTCCACCAAGTGAAGCGATTGCTGCTCAACAACAACAAGATTATCATGCCCCCCTCAGAATTGGTCTCTCTAGAGGGCTTGCAGGAACTGACCTTGGATCACAACCAGCTGACCCTCCTACCCACAGGTTTTGGTCGTCTCAAGAACCTGACCTACTTGAGTCTTAGTCATAACCCTCTATGTTCCTTACCAAGGGACATAGGGGATCTCAGGAACTTGAAGCAATTATGGATTGTCAACATACAACTTGTGTCTCTCCCTGTGGAAATTGGCCTTGTGCAGTCCTTAGTGAAGTTAGGTGCCAGAGACAATATGATTGCAGAGCTGCCTAGTGAGATCACAAGACTCTGTAGCTTACAGTGGCTCAACCTTGCAAATAATCTTCTCAGCCAGTTACCAGATCGCTTTGGGCGACTTGCAGAGCTGATGTACATAGACTTGAATGAAAATGATTTCAGTGAGGTACCTGAGGAACTGACGGAGGTGCCCAAGTTGGTATCGTTAGCCATGGCAAAGAACCAGATTTGTGCTCTTCCTGATGATAGACTGATCGGTTTGACACAACTCACAAAGTTGGATCTGAGGGATAACCCATTCACAGATAGGCCAGATCATTGGAAGGTATTCATTTCTATATACAGGAAATTATGTTTGTCAACCGATGAAAGATATTGTCTTAGAAATAATTATTTCTCAATCTAAATAGCAATCTTTGACCCAATCCATGGTCATAGAAAGGCTTTCAGAAATATATCCTTATTCCCGTTTGTTGTTTTTCGTAAGATGATATTGTATTTTTATTGTAATGATATACAGGGTCAATATCATACCTCATAGATATTTTTTCACCTGACTAATAATGGGAAGTGTTGTTTGTTTACAGCCAGAAAGGCGCTAACTCATTTCACCCAGAGTTAACGCCCTTCTGGCTCCGAACACAAGATATGGTCAGATTTCATGACCAAGAGTTCATAATATAGATAATACCTACCTAGCCATAATTATAAAAGTAGGAAAGATCTGTTAATGCAGTAACTTGAGAATCATTGTTTGCAGTGTACCTATGGTAAGCTAATTGTTTTCAGTTTTGATCAAGAGGTCAAAAGTCAACAATGGTTTAAATATGAGTTCATAGTCCAAAATTTAGGAAGAAATTTTTCCCCTTAACTTCAGAGGTCTAAGTATCTAAAATAGTTTATTTTTCCTTTCGCTTTATTTTTTTTCTTCAGGGGCTTGATTTCATCTTGCTTGGTTCATCTGTCACTCCACGTGGAGATGGTGCACAAGAGAATAGTTTGGATCAGCTTAATCAAGAGGGAGAAGATGAGGAAGAGGATGAGGAGGAGGAGGAGGATGAAGACGAGGAGGAGGAGGATGGGGATGAGGACTGTGATGTATGAACAATAACATGTAATACATCGAGCCGGATCAATGTCATCAACTTATGTCCATGCTGTAAGATTGAAAGGCTGACTGCTATTTAGAGAACAAAGTGTATCAGTGTTGCAGCAATCTCTTCTTAAGATGGTGTTGTGTTCCTTGTTGGTGTTAACAAGAAAGAAACCAGGCCTTGAATGTTGTCAGCTTTAGGGGAAGGCCACTTTGGCCAGTCTGATGGACACTGTTAGCCTAAACAGTTAGATCATAGCCAACAGACATGTCTGAAGTGGTCCCTATGCTTTTTGATTTTTAAATGGGCACTGGCTCGTGGATAAGGTATTACAGAAAAATCCTATGTTACCGGTACGTACATATGATTCATTGGAGATGCACTGAAGTGACAAGCGTTATCTGAGGAAAACAAGGGCACCATTTGTAGACTACGCTTTCCTTAATCTGAAGATCTGAAATATATTCTGTGCTGATCAAGGTTCATTTGAGGTTGTAATTGCAATTTTTACTTGGAGCATTTCATTTTTGGATGAGATTGTTAGAAATATAAACTACTGTACTCAAACAATCCTTCGGGTAGTATTATCTATCTCGTATTTTGTATTTACACAATGTTTGGCAAGGTCAAAATATGATGGAAAGAAAAAATGGGGGAGGGGTCTTCTAGATAGTGTAGTAATTTCCAGACCATGATCTTTCTGTGACTTTGACATATTTTAGAGATTCACAGGCTTTCTTGGGTTCTTAGAGGGAACAAAAGAGCGGCAGTAGTCATTATGTGTGCTACAAGAGAGGGATTAATTTGAAGGTACTGGTATACATGTACATACGTGTATGGGCAAAGTGATGAAACTGAAAGCCATTACCTGTATATTTATTAAAGGTAATACAAAGTTGTGGTACGGGGTCATGAATTTGGTTCAAATTAACATATTGGAAGCATATGGGATCCTACAATATTCAGTGATCGTTGTCGAGATTGAAATCGAGTCTAAAGTTATGAAATTGTAAATAATACACTCTTTATGTTGTATAGCTCCCTCTCAAGGTCAAGATATTAATTAAGTTATAAAACAATGTTTCTTGACTGAAATCGACGGATCAGCTATTCCCATTTGGAATTATATATCACAACTACATATTCTGAGATTTTCATGGTCGCAGCTACCATTGTACGGCTGTAGGCGCTATTTGAAATTTAACAAAATTTACCGGGAGCACCGGTAAACAAATTTATTAAATTTTTCTCGAAAGCAGAAGTGTTTTAGGGGCTAAATTTTCTAGTGCTTATAATACATATACAGAGGCATCCAAATATATCAAAATTGTAAAGAATCACTATCCACCCAATTTTCAAAATTCCCCAAACTTTGTATTACCTTTTACATGCAGATGTAGAGTACTTGGACCTAAAACTCTCTATCATCATCTATTTGGAACCAGAAGGACATTAACTCATATAGATCAACATAGAGTCAACGTCCTTCTGGCTCTGATTGAACAATATGTCAATGCATGAAAAGTTTTCCTCAATGTTTGTTTGCGATCTTATATCCCGACAAAATTAGTCTGCAAAGACCTGGTATAATTTTTTTAAGTAATTACCTTTAGAGTATTGTCTAAGCTAAGTATGCCTTTAAGAAGAAAGTGTCAATAGATTGACATATGTATGTTGTGAGACAGTCTTTAAGGTATCAACAATGTTGTCCTAATTAAGTCTTAAAGCTTGCCAATTTACAATTTGGAGATCTGATATTAAGCTTTATTTGAAGGACTCTACTCTTATTTTTTTTTATGAAAAGCATATCTAATAATTATCTATAATCAGTCTTTTGACTTTTTAAATATTCAAATACCAATTCATTTGAGAGATATATCTTAAATTTTTGTAGAAGTATATGTTTCTTTTAAAACCATGCTTTGAATAGGTCAAAGGTTGAATTTGAACAAATATGCAAACAATATTAACTGTTTCACTTTACATACTTGTGGTTAGAAATGGGAATGTCATCTCAAAGTTGAAAATGTTTTTTGTCTTTCATCTTTCTTTTTTTTCTTCAATAAAATCTGATTTTTCACAGATACTGATAGATTTGAATTCTATGCAATCAAACATTGTTATTATATGACATGTTTACAAGGTGAAATGTTTCCATCACTTCTCTGTTGATAGCTCAAATTAAATGATTTATTAATTACAGAATCACTTGTTACTTTTCATATTATTTCAGTTCATTCGTGTATTAAGAACTTAGCAGTGGTTACAGGTACTGAGTTTGTTTCTATTATACAAAGACGGTTCATTGTCTCAATTATTTGCATGACCAGACCCCCCCCCCCCCCTGACAATGACCAGATCCGACCCCACCCCACCCCCTCCACCCATCTATCTACCCGTTCCTGATCAAGCAGACAGTGAAACCTCTTCTTTCATTTATCAACTAGCTCTTCACCCCAATTGAAATGCTGCCATCTATAGTCTGGTATCTGTCAGACTAGTTCACTGAGTGCTGTATTTATATTACGTTTCAAGTGTTTACATGCATTTTGTGGAGTTATCAACCGTTTTGGCAATTCTATTTGAAGTAAAATCTGCACAAAGGTATATTTCTCCTGAATAGGACATGCAACCATCCTCTTCTACTGTATAAATCATCATAAAGGCTACTAAAAGATTGAAATGTTGTGTGGTAGCTTAACTTCCAACGGGGTCCAGACAACTCGCCACAAAGACAACCCGCCCCAAGACAACCCGCCACAATACCCTGGACATCCCGCCACAATACCCTGGACAACCCGCCACAATACCCTGGACAACTCGCCACAGCCTTTTCGGACAACTCGCCACACTTTTTCCCATCATGATTTCTAGATCTAAAATGAAATGAAATTGTCATTTTTCATGATTTTCGTGCTTTTATAAACACAGTCATTACAAAGAATAAAGAATAAAGTTGATTTCCCTAATTGTAACAATAATATATATTGAAATGAAATTGTCATTTTTCATGATTTTCGTGCTTTTATAAACAGTCATTAAAAAGAATAAAGTTGATTTCCCTTGTAACAATAATATACTTTTGATCTAGAGGTCTATAACAGCTGCATTTTTCTGTCCCAGAATTTTTTTATGGTAGGATACTGGAAGCACTGGCGTACTGATGGGGGGGGGGGGGGGTGGGCAGGTAATATTAGAATGTAAAGATACGCCAAAGATACATAGCAGCATATTCCTACCATTAAAAAGTTTCCTGAGACATGAACTTAAAAATCGTAGTCGTAACTCGTAGTCGTAGTACGCCTGGCTTGGGTTCGTCCAAAATAGATTCTTGTTGCAAGCGCAAGGAAAATCATCTTTATTCTTTAGAACAGCTCTCAAAATACTCACAATTTCCATGTTTCCTGTCATAACTGTGTTTATAAAAGCACGAAAATCATGAAAAATGACAATTTCATCTAAGATGAGGGATTTTAGATCTAGAAATCATGAGGGGAAAAAAGTGTGGCGAGTTGTCCGAAAAGGCTGTGGCCAGTTGTCCAGGGTATTGTGGCGGGTTGTCCAGGGTATTGTGGCGGGATGTCCAGGGTATTGGGGCGGGTTGTCTTGGGGCGGGTTGTCTTTGTGGCGAGTTGTCCGGGATTCCTTCCAACAATACCATTAAATAATTGAAAGAAATTAAAAAATAGATGTTTGAAATACCTCCACCCAGTGGCGGGGGGCCCGCCCCCCCTTTGGAAAAAATGTGTATTTTTACATTTTATAACGTGAATTTTACCTTTTTTTGGAGATGGCCCCCCCCCCCCTGGCACTCAAGGGGGAGGGGCGCAATTTTTCAAATTTTCGAGGGCCCCCAAAAAAATTAGTGCTCACTTCCCTATCACTATCACAAACATATAAGGGAAATACAAATATAACTTCAATCCATGCCACGCAAAAGAACAACAAATAAACTTTAATTTTACTTCCACGCTTATGACAGTGCTATGTTAAATTACATCCTTACTCCATCATCCAAGCAATTATCCTCTCTTCATTGGCTTAATATGAATAGCATCATGTAAATACAAAATAGTTGATTAAGAAGATCAGGTGATAGTCCAAGCATTTTCATTTGGTAGTTCCTACACCAGGAATGTCTCGGTAAAGACGAGCGATGGCGCTGTTTACAAAATTTCATTTTTCATTACACAATCATTAACAACGTCTTGGCATAGGTTTCCATAGTGCTTACACATTTTGACACACGTACCCCCACGTACCCAGTCGGTTTTAATAATAATCTGACAATATGTTATTCATCTTTCTCCAAACGCTGTCTGTCCGTCTGAGTTTCTGCAAAAAAAAATAACAATTTCGCAATGTCTCCCGTTACTAATCATCAAACTAGTTATAATAAATCACATTGACCAAGATTGTGACGGGAGAACAGTGATGAATTTCCATGGACATTAATGAAAAAATTAATCAAAATATGAGTAAAATTATAAGTGATACCCATTGTTTCCGGGCATTTCATGTATGTATCTACCTGCCCGTCTTATCCCACCCCCACAATGACGTACACAAACTGAGTGGGTTCTCAACCTGCTTATGATGGGGAAACAAAACGGGAAAGCACTTCTATAATTATCACGAATAACTACAAATTATTGATATTCGAAATGTTTTAACATATTTTATATGCACTTTAGAATATTTAAATTACTAAATTGTTAATGCTTTTGAAAATAAGGGAATATCCACTGTTACAGTAGTATATATATCTTTTCATAATTTTGTATGTTTTCTGTCTATGTCTGTCTGTCTGTGTGTGTCTCTCTATCTATCTCTGTCTATCTCGCTCTCTCTCTCTCTCTCTCTCTCTCTCTCTCTCTCTCTCTCTCTCTCTCTCTCTCTTCACGGTCTCTCCTGCTCTCCCTCATCCTCCTCTAAACTAGAACAGGTGCAACATATCTCAGAAAGTTCTTTATACTTTGCACCCCATCCAAATTTCCACAATACCAAATCCAAATCTAAAGTTCATATTCGATATACCACCAGTAAAATACGTCATCAACATTATGACAGCTCTATCATTATATCTTCTATGAGTCGTCGGCGGCCAGCGATCCGAGAACAATTCAAGCTACCCTAGCAACCCCGTACAAATGGAGGGCTCTTCGTGAATTATTAAGAGAAATAAGTCGCGCGTCGTGCAGAAAAATAAGATAGACAGACCAAAGATCTTTTGTCAAAGTTACATGCATGTTAGCTATCACCCATCATTTCCCTAACTCAATATATGATCCATTTATCATCTATCATGTCAATATCTTTTCTTTCTCCCCCTCTGCCCTGATTTATCGCCATGGCAACCTGATCAACATCGTGCAGCATTGAACGGAGGGTATTAACTTACTGAAAATGACATTTTGATTGGAAAAAGACATATTGGTGAATTGTTAATTGCGAAGTGGTTTTTCTTGACATCCACATACACGCGAGGGGTAATATTTCTCCCCGGGTTGCCTCATAAATGTCGAGTTGATAATGGGTTCTGACTGATTGTATCATATTTCATTTCAATCTTGTTAAATGTTTGTTTTATGGAAGCCTACGTCACAATGATTGAACAGTCATGTGACTTCAT